GTTAACTCTGATTTTTTCTTCACAGATGCTGCCAGACCTGCTGAGCTTTTCCAGCAACTTTGTTTTTATTCATTATAAATTCATGTAACTCAAGATAGGATAGTAAGATTGGTATTAAATCACAAATGTGAACAATGACATTTTATTTCCTGTACAGGTTTTGGCTTACCTGTCCATAGCATGCAGCATAATGTACAAGAGCAGGGTAACCATCTGAAGGGCTCAACTCAGCAATGGCTTCGGTTTCACTCATCAGCCAACGCAGACATTCAAGCTGCCCTTCCTGTGGTCATACAATCAAATTGAGATTAATTGTCGTCGCATTTAAGCGTGCTGCAGCTACATAAAAATACTGCATATTTAAACACATGTGGTATTGCTCCAACAGCAAATGTTCTATAGTATAACTGATTTTAAACTTTCCTTGACAGTCACGGTATATTTATGGCCTTGAAGGTTCCGTGTTAGTTCACAAGAAAATTTCATCAAGGAATAGAAGGACACCTGGTTTTCTTCACTATGGACTAACACAGAAGTAGATTTTTAGAGTACTTTTTTTTAAAGCAAAGAATTAATTGATGAGTTCACCATTGAAAAAAAATACAGGTCAGACATTCTTAACAGTGATATTCAATATACTTAACGCAGACAGAGATAAAACTAAAATTAAAACTCCGAAATACTTAAAGGAAACAAGAGTGAAAAGGCTCACAGCATTTTGGGCAATTGCCAAGTAACATGTCTTTACAAATAACATGAGCAACAGCTAGCAATGTGCCAGAAGACTGGCTGTGGCCTGGAATTAAACCCACTTAATAAACCAAATGCAGTATTTAAAAGACAGAAGAATTTGAAATATGGGTCATGAGAACAAATGGACTCAAAGATTTGGATGTGGATCCATCTTGTTCTATGCATTCTGAAACTGGCAACTGGAAGAACAGTCCCACATCTTTCTTCTTATTATTAAAACTCTAATATTCAGAACTACATGAGATGGAAGAGCAAAATGTTGGAATACAACCAACTGAAAACTATATTTTAAGGTATAATCTGCATTTTTGCTCCATTCATCTAACTATGTTAAATTTTGCTCTGGATCATGGAGGTGGCAAGGCAATTCTGTATATCGCACTTAATCAGCTCTTAGGATCACTTAGGGGGCATCTCCAGTCTTCCTCTGAAATTCCACTCAAAGCACCATTAATAAACTCATTAGGATCAGGTCTGTTAACAGTAGAGCTTGGTCCTCTTCGAGGCCTAGGCAAAGCAACAATGCTGAAGAAGAAAACGGGAACCGATTCATGAATGCTGACGCCTCTTGTCACATCTAGAGGTACAGGCATCCTCTCTGAATAATCCAATTACCTCTTCCACAGTATTTGAGATGAGTGAAGGCATGATGATTTACTTTCAAGAGACAATTGCAAAGGCTTGGAGGAGAGCTTGCAGGTGGTGGTGTTCCCATGCATCTGCTGTCCCTGTCCTTCCAGGTGATAGAGGTCACAGATTCAGAAGGTCCTGTCAAAGGGGCTGTGACGAGTTGTTGCAGTGAATTTTATAAATGAAACATACTACTACCACTATGTGTTGATAATGCAGGTAGGAAATAATTGAGGTGGTGGATGAAGTACCTCTTCCTTTATGATGTTAAGCTTCTTTGTATTTTGTTGAAGCTACACGTATCTAGATAAATGTAGACTATTCTAACATTTGGGGATCATTGGACGGCATTTTTGTGGCATCTTTCCAAACTGCTACCTGGCAGGCAAACCTTTCATCTCCCAATATGTGAAATCATCATACATATGGGAAGGCACAGTGGTTAGCTCTGCTGCATCACAGCGCCAGGGACCTGGGTTCTATTCCAGCCTTGAGTAACTGTCTGTGTGGAGTTTTCACATTTTCCCCATGTCTATATGGGTTTACTCTGGGTGCCTCAGTTTCCTCCCAAAGTCCAGAGATGTGCAGGTTAGGTGGATTGACCATGCTAAATTGCTCATAGTATCCAGACATGTGCATCCTAGGTGGATTAGCTATGGGAAATGCAGGGTTACAGGGATAGGGTAAGCGTGTGGGTCTAGGTGGGATGCTCTTTGGAGGACCTGATGGGCCAAATTGCCTGGTTGCACACTGTCGGGATTCTATGATTGATATGTGAATTAAAATTGAAAATTTCTTGATACAGACTCACCTGGTTTTGATGTCCTTAGATAAAAATGGTACATTCAGTGTGAATAATTTTACTTATTCTACGTGGCTGTCAAAGCTTATCTTAGAATGTGATCTGGTGACCACTGAGCCACTTTTATGTTCATGCTTCTTCCATTTTAAAATACATTTTAATCCATGGAAGATCTCAGTATAACAATCTGAAGATAGAAGTTGAAATCTGATGGTCCATACTTACCAATGACATGACACCACAGTCATTTTCCTTTTACGTTAGGTATGATTTCAACTAAGACAGAGTTTTCCCTGACTCCCATTGAAATCAATTTTGATAGGGCTTCTAGATACTCCATTTGGTGAAATGTTGCCTTCATGTCAGGGGAAGATGCTCTCAGCTCACTCCTTAAGTTCAGTTTTTTGATCCATATTTGGACAAAATGTGTAACAAAGTCAGGAGCTGAGCGTTCCGTAGTTTCTGCAGTACCCAGTACCTTCAGTCATTTTTTGATATCATGTGCAGTGAATCACATTGGCTGAAGGATGGCACATGTGTTGTTGGAGACCTCAAAGAAAGGCAGAGATGGATCATCTGGCTGAAGATTGATGCAAATGCTTTGTCTCATCTTTTGCAAGGTTGTGCTGGGCTCCCCATCACTGAAGAAGGGCATATTTATGAAGTTTCCTCCTCCAACTGATAGCTATTTAACTGTCCACCACCATTTATGACTGGATATGGCAAGCCAGCAGAGCTTTGATCTGATCCTTTGATCGTGATTGCTCAGCTCTGTCAATTGCATGTTGCTTCTATTGTGTGGCAACTTTGCCAGTTTGAAACCTCAGTTTTAGGTATAACTGGTGCTGCTTCTGGCACGTCCTCCTGCACTTCTCATCGAACCAGGGTTGATCACTGAATTGATGCTAATGTTAAATAGACTGGGTAACAAGGTCATAGATTATGGTTGAATACAATACTACCACTGTTGATGGCTCTCGGTGCCTTACAGATGCCCAGGTTTGATTGCCAAATGTTGAAGTATAACTCATTTAGGTGATGCCACACAACACAATGGAGATACTCCATGGGCTTTGTAAAGAGAGGAAGAGAGCACAAAAGCAAGTAAGTTAGAATGTACCTTTCTAAAACTGGAATATTGTGCCCAATTCAGGCTGCACCTTAGGAAGGATAAAAAAAGGTTGGACAGAGTGCAGAAAAGATTTACGAGAATGGTTCCAGGCATCAGAATATTCACATGAAATTACTGATTGATTTGGCCTCACCACCTTTGGAAGGGAAAAACTGAAGAACATTATTTTTCAAGATGAAAGATAATGCATTAGACTCTGAAAGATTCAGAGAAGTAGCATTTAATTGTGTAATTATACTATTTACCCAAATTTTCTCTCTTAAGTACAAAGAGCTACAAAACAAACAATGTAGATAAAGGAGAACATGTAGATGGAGTTTATTTGTATTTCTAAAAGTCATTTGATAAGATGCCGCATCAAAGATTGTTACTCAAATAAGGGCTCATATGTTAATCTAGTGGTACTGACAGAAGTTTGGTAATCTAATAGAAGCAATGAGTCGAGGTAAATGGGTTATTTTTAGGTTGACAAGCAATAAATAGTGAATTGAAAGGAATCAATGTTAAGACCTGAACTGTTTACAGTATATGTCAATGACTGGGATCAGAAGGCCAAACATATGGCAGCTAGCAGTTAAATTTACCAAAGATATCCAGATAGTTGGCAAGTGATTTGTCAAGATATGATAAAGAGTTTACAAAAGGGTATAGACAGATTAAGTGGAAAAAATTTTGTCAGATGGCGTTTCATGTGGGAAAATGTAAATGTGTTCACATTGGAAGGCCAAATTTAAAAAAAATTATTTAAATGGAGATAAATTGTAGAGCTCAGTGATGCTGAAGGATCTGGGTGTCCTGGTATATGAATCACAAAAGGTTAGTATATAGGTACTGCAACCGATTAAGACAGCACACGGAGCTTTGCTGTTTATTGCAGGGGAATGGGACATAAAAGTAGACAGCAGTTAATATTGAGTCTCCTGAATCTTCTTCAAAAGTTTTCAAAGAAGAGTCATGAAAACCATAACATTAACTTTGTTTCTCAACCCACAGATACTGCTAGACCTTCGCAGTTTCTCTCGCACTTTGTTTTTGTTTCAGTTTCCAGCATCCACAGTATTTTACTTTCATTAAAACAGACAAGTTTTGCACCAGCTATACATGACTTTAATGAGACAACATCCAGTGTAATGTAATAATGACAATATCAAGACCACTTGAGAGAGACTGGCTCAGTGAGGGCTATATTCAATGGGGGGTGTGAACTCAGAAACCTATTAAATTTTAACAGATCTAGACAGGGTAAAGCAGGAAGGATGATCTAAATGTATGGGGAGTCCAAAACCAGAGGTCACAAACTAAGGATATGGGGTTGGCAATATAGGACTGAGATGAGGAGAAATTTCTTCACCGAGAGAGCGGTTGGCCTGTGGAATTCTCTGCCCCAGAAAACAGTTGAGGTCCAAACACTGAATGTTTTCAACAAGGAGTTAGATATCGATCCTCGGGCTAAAGAGATAAAGGGCATGGGGAAAAAGTGGGAACAGGGTACTGAGCTGGATGATCAGCAATGATCATACTGAATGATGGAGTAGGCTCAAAGGATTGAATAGCAGACTCCTGCTCCTATTTTCCTATGCTTCTATGTAATGTGTACGGTTTTGCTCTCCTTATTTGACAGAAGATATAACCCCTTTAAAAGCAGTTCAGGGAAGGGTTGTTCAACTCATTCCTGGAATGAAGGTCTTATGAACAAAGATTGAATGGGTTGGGCCTATTCCCACTGGTGTTGAGAAGAATGAGGGGTAATCTTATTTAAACAGACAAAATCCTGATGAGGCTTGATAGGATGGGTACGGAGTGTGTGTTTTTTGCTAAAACTTGACAAGGCACTAATCAGACCACAGTAGGAATACTTTGAACAATTTCCTGCTCCTTATCTAAGGAAAAATGTGCTGGTATTAGAAGCAGTCCAGAGAAAGTCCACTAAGTTAACATAAAACAGTCCCTACATACCTGATGGGGAGAGGTTGAATAGATTGGGCCTGTACTCATTAGAATATAGAAAAATGAGAGGTGACCTGATTGAAATGCGACTTGACCAGTGAATGGAGAAAGGCTGTTTTCCCTTATGGAAGAACTAGAGACTTTAATGCCAGAATAAGATGTTGCACATTTGAGAGAGAGATGAGAAGGAATTTCTTCTCTCAGAGGGTACTGAATTGAGGAATTCTTTACTGCAGAAGGCTTTTGAGGCTGGGTCTTTAAGTATATTCAAAGCTGAGACAAAGTTTTAATCAGTAAAGGATTAAAGGATTATAGGGAAAAGGCAGGAAAGTGGAGTCAAGGATTATTAGATCAACCATAATCTTACTGGATGGCAGACCAGACTCAATGGGCTGAAATGACTTAATTTTGCTTCTATGTCTGTAGTCTTATAGTCTTATACCAGAGAATGTTTGCTCTTGTAGAGGAGCTTAGAACTAGGAGGACGCACTTTAAAACTAAGAGATTTCCCTTTTAAGGCTGGGATGAGGAGAAATGTTTTCTCTCAGATGGTAATAAATATTTGATATTCTCTTCCCCAGAAAGCAGTTGAAACTGGCTTATTGAACATATTCAAAGCAGAGTTAAACAAATTTTCGATAAAAAGGAGTCAAAACTTACAAAGGGTAGATAGGAAAGTGGTGTTGAGACCACGATAAGATCAGACACAATCAGATAGAGGCTTGAAAGGCTGAATGACTTACACATAAGTCCAATGTTCCTATGAGAGGTTTCAGTTACAAAGATAGGTTGGATAAGCTAGAACTGTTCACATTAGAGAAGGTTAAAAGAAGATTTAATCAAGGTGTTCAAAAGTTTGAGGAGTCTGGGTAGAGTAGATGGAAAGAAATTGTTCCCACTGGTGGGACTGTCAAGAAAAATGATTCACAAATTTATGGTGATTGGCAAAAGAACTAATAGAATGTTGAGAAAAGGTATCTTTACTCAATAAGGTATCAGGATCTAGAATGTATTGCCCAAAAGCATGATGGCGATTTTCAAAAGATACCTGATAAGTGCCCAATAGGAAAAATTGCAGGGGTACAGGTAAAGTGCAGGGGAGTTGCACTAGCTGAACTGCAGAGAGCAGGCTTGGACATAAACAACCAAACAACCTCCTTCTACCCCAAAATCACTCAATTTTTAAACAAAGAACTCAAAATAGTGGGTGATAATTACAGAAGGTTTCCTTTGTTCCATTCATGGGATGTGAGTGCTTTTGCCTAGGAGGGCATTTGTAGCCAATCCCTAGTTGGCCTTGAAAAGATGACCGTGAGCTAATTTCTTGCACTCAGCCATGCAGCCATGTTCATTTCGACAAACACCAACTTCCGCCACTGATGGAAAGGTTTTAGGAATAGTTGCACATTTATACTCAGTGTATTCTGCATCCACCAACAGTTGCAATTGTTCCTGATGCCTTTCTAGTTTGCAGCAGCAGCTTGGATCTTATTTTACAATATTCAGAGCTATTTTAGGCTTAGTCTACAGACCTAGTTTGCACACTCATTTTAATACCTTGCTGTTGACCCCATTGAATGACCTAAATAGACAGTAAAATGAAGGTCAAGGCCCTCTTTAGGTTGGATCCAATGCGCTATGGCTTTGTGTAAACGGCTTATATGCGGTTCAGATAACTCAATTGGTACTGATGTTTTGACCAAATAGAACTCAATCTCAAGGTGCTCTTTTGGTTCAGACAGTGACAGAATTTACTTTTCAACCCAGCATAAAGGAAACCAACCTTATTTGAGACTGTGGAGACGAGGGGAAAATGTTTTATAGTACAGCTTTGCTCCGTTTCCCAAATTTCATGTACCTTGTCCACACAGCACACATTGGTTAATTGTTATGTAACCTACCTTTACTGCCAAGGAAGATGGGGTAAGTTTCTCATTATTACGCTCTGTCAAGCATTCCTCTGCCATTAAAGTCGTCAGATGTTGTAAACACTCTAGGTGTCCTTGAGAGGCTGCAATGTGCAGTAGATTATTTCCTTTTTCATCATGAATCTTCTCCAGATTGTCAACAGTTAAATGTGGCTAATTGTTGTGTGGGAAACAGAAAGGATGACCAGATGAGAACCTGCTGATAATTTTATACCTTTTCCTACTCATAACCTTCCAGTTAAACCACATGTATTTGTGCAACCCATTATTCATTTTCAGTTGAGGAATTGATTCCAGAAGATGACGCTTTACCAGGAATTATTCAGCAACTGCTTAGAAGGAGTGCGTTTGTATTAACTAGGATAAAATTAAACTCTTAAATTATTTCAAGTATATATCAAAGCATAAACAAAAGATGACAGAATTTACAACTAGGAAGCAATAATCTGAATGGGTAGAATATTTTCATTACAGTAATTCAACACATCAAGTTCTTGCTGGCTGAGGTTTCCAGTCAGTCCCGTTCCCTTATTATATTCCTGTGGCCCTGCAAGTTTGTTTCCCTCAAGTACGCATTCAATTTCTTTTTGAAGTCTCTGCTTTGACCTTCCCATAGGAAATGAATTCCAAACTATTACCACTTGTTCTGTGACAAAGTACTTCTTCACATTTTCCCTGCATACCTTTACCAAAATCTTAAATCTGAGTTTTCTGGTTCGTGTGCCATTAGTTAAAAGGAACAGCTTTTTCTCTGTCTACCTTATTTGAACTGACCATACTTACTCACACTTTTATCAAATCTCCGCTCAGTCTTCTTGCCTTCAAGAACAACAACACTGGCTTCGCCAACCTAAACTTGTAGCTGAAGTTCCTCAATCCTGGATCATTCTGGTAAATCTCCTCTGCAAACCTCTAAAGACCTCTGAAATTCTTTCCAAAACGTAGTGACCAGAATTAGAAAATATGTTAGCTGTAGCCTAACTAGGATGCTATAAAAGTTCAATGTAACCTTCCTACAAACTATCAGTACATTCTACAAGATTCAAATTCAACGCAGATTTGCACTTGCCCCAGTCCCTCAGTTCCTGCACCCTATTTAGAACTGTGTCATTTCATCTGTATTGCCTCTCCCTATCCCTTCTTATCAACCTTGCACTTGTCTGTATTCTGCTAGTCTATCTCTGGCTCCATCTGATTGATAACAACTCCACTGTTTACCCACCATCAAGTTTGGCATAAATGGCAAATTATACTCTATATTCCATTGTACAGATATTTATATATTTCACAATAAATAATCATTCCAGAACTGACTATCGGGAACAGTCACTATCTATTACCCTCCAATCTGAAAAATAACCACTTACCACGACTTAATAAAACCGAAAGAACTGCGGGTGTTGTAAATCAGAGACAAAAGTAGAAATTGCTGGAAAAGCTCAGCAGGATGGCAGCATCTGTGGAGAAAAATCAGAGTTAGCATCAAACTCTTCCTGTTCTGAGGAAGGGTCACTTGATCCGAAATGTTAACTCTGGTTTCTCTCCATAGATGCTGCCATCCTGCTGAGCTTTTCCAGCAATTTCTACTTTTGTCACTTACCACAACTTGTTATTTTCAGTTCTTAAGCCATGTTTTTTAACACAATTGAGTTCTGCACTCCTATTCCACATGCCTCAGTTTTATTAAGCAGGCTTCTGTGTGATACATGGGAATATTGTATTGTTGCAATCACTGAGACATGGTTGACGGAAGGGCAGGACTGGCAGCTCAACATTCCAGGCTATAGATGTTTTCAGATGCAATATGGGTGGATGTAAGAGAGCTGGAAGGCATTACACTATAGATAAAGGAAACCATCACTTAAATGAATGCTTCTCATCAATATACAGAGTAGTGCAGTTAATGTGGTTTACATGGACTTCAGCAAGTCCTTTGACAAGGTCCCACATGGACCTCATCCCAAAGGTAAGAGCCCGGGATCCAAGGCAAGTTGGCAAACTGAATCCAAAACTGGCTTGCAGATAGGAGGCAACTGGTGATGGTGGAGGGATGTTTTTGTGATTGGAAGCCCGTGACCAGTGGTGTATCACAACCATCGGTGCTGAGATTCTGTTTGTTAGTTACACTAATGACTTGGATGTTAATGTAAAAGTATAATTAGTAAGTTTGTATATGACTCAGAAAATCAGTGGTGCTGTTGATAGTGAGGAGGATGGTCTCAGGCTGGCATTGATCAGCTGGCAAATTGGGCAGAGGAATGGCAGATGAAATTTAATCTTGGTAAGTGTGAGATTATGCATTTTGGGAGGTCTAATATGGGAAGGATATACAAAATAAATGGCATATCCCTAGGGAGTACGGAGGAACAACGGGACCATGCTGTACAAATCCATAGATTCCTGAAGGGGTCAGCATAGGTGGTGAAGAAGGCAGATGGGATGCTTGCCTTCATTAACCAAAACATGGAATATAGGAGCAAGGAAGTCTTGCTACAACTTTATAAAACCTTGGTTAGGCCAAAGATGGAATACTGTGTGCAATTCTGGTTGCCAAACTATCGGAAGGACTTGACTGCATTGCACAGGGTGCAGAGGAGATTCACCACAGTGGTGCCTGGGATGAAACATCTCACTTAAGAGGAGAGACTGGATAGGCTGGGTCTGTTTCACTTGAAGCAGAGGAGGCTGGGGAGCAGGGGGGATATCTGATTGAGGTATATAAAATTATGAGAGGCATAGAGTAGATCGTGAGAATCTTTTACGTGGCAGACACGTCTATAGACCAGAGGGAATAAACTTAAGTTGAGGAGTAAATGGATGAGAGGCGATTGGAGGAAAGAAAAATTCCACCCAGAAGATGGTAGAAATATGGAATGTGCTGCTGGTGGGATCAGATACTCTCCCTACATTCAAGAGGGACACAAAATGACAGGGCATAGTAGGCTATGGACCAAGTGAAGGTAAATAGGATCAATGCATTTATTGTTTGTTGGTTAGCATTAACATGGTGGACCAAAGGGCCTGTTTCTATGCTGTAAGACTCTCTGACTTTATGAAATAATTCTTCCAAAAAGAAATTCACACAGATTTGGTCAAGAAAAAGAAGGAAGCATATGTCAGGTATAGACAGCAGAGACTGGTGAATCCCTAGATGAGTATAAAGGCAGTAGGAATATACTTAAGAGGAAATCAGGAGGGCAAAAGAGGGGACATGAGATAGCCTTGGCAAATAGGAGTAATGAGAATCCAAAGTGATTTTATAAATACATGAAGGACAAAAGGGTATCTGGGGAGGGAATAGGGCCCCTTGAAGATCAGCAAGGCCGCCTATGTGTGGAACTGCAGGAAGTGGATGACTTACCAAAAGAGTATTTTGCATCACTGCCTACTATGGAGAAGAATATGGAAGATATAGAACGTGGGGAAATAGATAGCAACATCTTGAAAAATGTCCATATTACAGGTGCTGGATGTCTTAAAAATGCATAAAGGTAGATAAATCTCCAGGACCTGATCAGAGGTACCCTAGAACCCTGTGGGAAGCTAGGAAAGTGATTGCTGGCCCCCTTGCTGAGATATTGGTATCATCAATAGCCACAGGTGAGGTGCCCTAAGACTGGAAGTTGGCTAACGTGATGCCATTATTGAAGAAAGGTGGTAAGGAAAAGCCAGGGAACTATAGACTTGTTGGAGGGTATCCTGAGTGACAGGATTTACATGTATCTGGAAAGGCAACGACTGATTATGGATAGTCAACATGGCTTTGTGCGTGACAAGTCATGTCTCATTCACTTGATTAAATTTTTTGAAGAAGTTATGAAGAGGATTGATGAGGGCAGAGCGGTGGACGTGATCTATATGGAGTAAAAACCAAAAGAACTGCGGATGCTGTAAATCAGGAACAAAAACAGAAGTTGCTGGAAAAGCTCAGCAGGTCTGGCAGCATCTGTGA